TTTACAACGTCGTTGCCAAGCGACGAAAACCCAACCCCGATGGCAGGGGGAGCTAGAGAGGGGGGGTGTATTTACCGTGAGCTCAAGGGGGTCTCTTTTTGCTGTGCCTCTGCTCTTTGTTCGAGCTGGCAATTCAAAAGCGTGTGTGATGGAGGTGGCCAGACAGACTACTAGCACGCAAGGCACAGGTCACACAAGTGTAGAGAGGCGTACAGCAGTACATGTTGCACCAACAATGAATGGTGGTGCGTAGCAGCAGCGTTTACATGTGTTGTTGGTGTGATGTGCCTCTCTCCAAGGAGAGGTACGCGCTGCTGCCGTCAACTGCCGCTGGCTGCTAGCAAAATGCCGCAGTGACCGAGAACCAACCAAAAGTCTGTCTCTCCTTCGCTTCCTCCGCCAAAAGCTAGCAGCAGTGTAGTATTGTATAGGGCACACGATGCTCCCGCCGTCTCGCCCTTCCTGTGGTGTCTCCCTTCCCCTTTGTCCATGTCTGGCTCCGTGTGTGAGTGATGTCTTGCGTGTCAGCTACCTGAACGTCCGACAGCCCGCTGGCTTGCTGCAACAAAACAACCGAGAGACCAACAACGTGTTGTATGTGTCTCTCCTCTCGCTTCCTTTGCCGATAGCTAACAGCAGTAGCACAGAGCACACCCTGCTCTCGTCTCGCTTTCGCCCGAACTCTCGCTGTGGTGTGCCTCCCTCCGCGGTCCTTGTGACCATGTCTGGCTCCGGGTGATGCTGGCTGTCGTTTGCGTGAGCCTATTTATGCCTACCACGTCTGATCCCAACCAAGCCTCCTCCTCAAGGTCGGGGACGCCTGAATGCGACATGTATATTCTGATCAGATGCCGTGCTACCTCGACGCACCGACCACGGATTGATTAGGCAAAATATTTTTTGTAGTTTGTAGGGTAGTAGACTAGATGGTGAAATGGGCTCCACTCTGCTGGGGTAGTAATCGAGCCTGGCCAACACAAGATGGGCACGACGCATTCTTCTCTCCCCCCCCCCTCCTCGTGGTCAATATTCTTTTCGTTTTGCGCGCATACATGTAGTCTATATGCAATCCCTCTACACAGTTTTCGTTCCCAAAAAGAGAAAGCACCCCTAGCGGCCCGCTCTGAAAAAAGAATATACAAGAAGAAAAAAACCCGCTAATACTCTTTGGGGGACTGTCGCCAAAATAAATAGAGCGAAAACACACACACTTAAGATGATGAACTCGTTGCCATCCTTTGAATGAAGAAACGCCCATGAGCAATCGACCTGTTTTGTTCTCGTCCCTGAACGAATAGGCCAGACACGACATACGCTCACACTACCCACCGTCGCACGTCTCCCCTCATCATTTCATCCTCTGGCTCGGCGGCATCAAAGATTTTTCACAGATTCCAAAATCCTCCGGTGTCAGGTATGTATGGTATTAACACGGAGAATGTTCCCTAGCTTGCAGCAGCAGTAGACCTATCGTACTAGGTTATCATGTTATATTTGCATAAATATACTCACAGAATGGTTGTCGTGTCGCGACACATATCTTTACTTTTGATAAGGGAAAAAATATATAGAATAGACTAGTCTATGGCGTGTCGAATTATTCAGTGCACAACGGACCAGACACCGACCAAGAATGTTTGCAAACCGCGACGACCATGACTGGATGGGATGACCCCTGCGACGACGAAGCATACTTCAATGCGATGCGAACAACCGGGCGCGTGTCGTGCATTTGACACATGACGCTGCCGACCATCAGATGCACATATAGTGTAGGCTAGGTGTCGCCATACTGTTGTCGCCGCCCAAAAGGATTTCTTGGGAACATCTCCGAAACGGAACGACGAACACGGCAATAAGGGCTCCATTGTCCAGACAGATCTTCTGTTCCAACGCTCGAATCAGAGCGAAGCAACCCTTGTCGACAAACGCGTGATCTGAGTGCGAGTGGATGATCGATGTGGCGAGTGTCTAGAAAATTGTCACAGGAACCAGAGCAGTAAAATGTCGTGTGTCTCCTCTTTCGTATTATTCGTGCGCGACAGATGAACGAGCCAAGCATGGATAAAGATTGCAATAGAGATCTACATATCTCGAGATAGATGGCTCAGTATTACTGTAGGAAGAGGTTGTTTGGAAGCGCAGTTTCGTGGAACTGCACGGGCCACGCGTGTGTGCCTACACGTCGGAACAAAAGGGGGATACGGTCACGCGCGTGACGTCACCTTGTACTACTTCAGTAACGTTTACAGTCACACAACATGAATGTAACCCGCCTTTCGTTCTATTAAACGTCTACAGTATGCGTAGACTTTAGAGCGTTAGATGCCACCTACAGTATTTTGATTTATCAACGCGACGAGTGTCGTCGGTTGGCGTGCGTTAAGCTTTTTTTTGCTGTTCGCTGTGTTTTTCTCGTCCTCCCTTGTAGACAGCTGATGAAACCACGCTCGAGCTCTGAATGAATTGCCCGTGCTGCATTCGTGTATACGTACCGTTATAGGGTCAAGGATTGGCCCCCGCCCCCTGCCATAACCAGACGGATGGCGGTGAGGGTTTGGGAGGAAGTAAAACACAAGAAAAAGGAAGATAGCCGTCCTCTATTAGTCGATAAAGCATATCGACGTAGCCGCAAGAGGCGAGCAGCTGTCCGGCCAAGCATCAACTGTTCCAAAAAAGATCATATTCCCATCAGAGCGAAATTGTAGTTCCTCAAGATCCACCAGACTTCGATCCACGGGATGATAAACAAGGCCGTCAGGCGGTGTCTTACGCGTGGTGTGTCATAGCTTTTTTATTTGGGGAGGGGGACCCTTTTGCTCAGCCCAAAACATTGTTTGGGCTTCTTACGCGGAGGAAAATGGTAAGTTATCACAGCCAACCCACAAATTCTCTCAGCCCAAAGATTTTTGATCCCGGCCGGCCTGTTAGAAAATTGCAAGGGTGCGTTCTGTAGGGTACTCACAGACCTGTACCGGGGGTAATTACCCTCTGTATTTACCCTACAGAGAGGCACAGACCGTTCTGTAGTATCCCCTGTACCCTACAGAATAGTTCTGTGTTTTGTATCATCCACCGTACTACAGAATAGTTGTGTGCGTTTGTATCATCCCCCATATCATACAGAATAGTTCTGTGTGATTTTGTGATGCCTCCATACCCTACAGAATAGTTCTGTGACGTGCAGTCACAATACCCTATCTGCACAGAAAGTTCTGTATCATCCCCCGTACCCTACAGAAATATTCTGTGCGTTGTATCATCCCCCGTACCCTACAGAACAATTCTGTGTGGTTCTGTGATGCCTCCGTACCCTACAGAATGTGTGTACCCGGAACAATTACCCGCAGCAAGAGTGATCTGTGCATTACCCCGTGTGATGTCACCTCCGCGAAGCAAGCGGGAAGGTGATCCGGCACACACACAGACACATACACAGCCACCAGCACAAACAGCAGTGTCCACCCACAAGAACAACAGCGGTAAACAAGACAGATCTCTGTCGAACCTCGAGAGGGAACATGAATGGTGCGGACCCCGGCAGCTCTTCTTCCGCGACCCCAGACACAAACACAAACACGGGTGGTGGGGTAGTCGATGGCGAGGGCGACACAACCGAAGGCACGCCCGGGAGCAACGAGCAGCAAGACTCGAACGTTGTAGGCCCTGCCGGAGGCAGCACTGGAGGCGTGCCCTTACTCAGCCCGAAATCAGTTTACAGCAACGACGGGAAGGTAGCGGAAGTGGATGCCGCCGTCCCGACCGCGGTAGATAATTTCTCGGTGCCGGCTGGTTTCGTGAGAAAGGGCTCCCGCGTCGACTCGTTTATGTACTCGCTCGGAGTCTACGTAGAGAAGAGCGGAAGCACGAACCACACGTACTTCTGCCTGGCAAGCTCAAAGTGCCGCAGCAACAAGAAGATCATCCCATGCCCAAAGGGAGACCGCAGCAACGTCAACACGCATCTCAAGAGACAGCACAAGATGCAGGGGACGGAAGGAGTGAAGAAGAGAAACACCAAAAAGGAGACGCAAACAAGCATCCAGTCGGCCTTGGCTGCGAGCACCAACTCGGGCCTCGGCAAAAACAGGTGTGTAATCATTTATTTGTTCTTTTTTTTTTTTTTGTGCTTTCGCGGTTGTGAGTACCGAGTACCCTACAGACGGTAATTACCCCCGATACAACGTGCATCTGTGGGTACCCTACAGAACACACCTAAAACAAAAAAAAACAGGTTCGACTCCCCAAGACATTGTCCACTATTGGTCCATTGCGCCATGCCAATGTCACGCGTCCATCTTCGGCATTTTGATTTCAAGGGAGAAGGCACATCCTGCTGCAAACGAGTTTGGTTGCTCATACCCTTCTCGCATCCTTTACCTCCCCTTGTTGCGTGTTGCGGCAATGTTTTTTGCTTGTATTTTCAGAGTTCGCGAGCTCTTGTGCACGGAAATGGTTGTCGAAAAGTTCTTGTCGTTCTCCTTCTTTTCATCTGGGAGATCGTGGAGGCGGACGATAGGCTTCGAGGTCTCCGCCGACACACCGTACCCGCCGCTTCCTAGCAAGCGCATCAAAGCACCTCCTGGTGGAGATGTATGTCGCCACCAAGAAGGTCAGTGATGTTGTGCACCACGCCCTCGCCTCTCTACATCGCTACTCCTTTTTTGTACTCGGTTGTTGATCGTTTGTTTCTGTATTTGTTCTTCCGCCGCTCTCTTGAACTTCAAGTGACTCTTTTTTCGGTCCAATTCTTTTGTTTTTGGCTGAACTCGAGATGTACCGAAACAAACATTTTTTTTTGTTTTCGGGGACTTTAAACATCAACATCAACGGGGTTTGATGGTTGATGGAACAGCGTCAATGTGTTGCTCTCGGCATATATTTTATCTTCCATCAGTCTTCATTTTCCCGAAAATTCGTGCTGGTCTATCGACATAACTATGTTGCTCTGTGTCGTTGATTTGATTCCCCTTGCCCCCGCAGGCTGTGGTGGGGAACATGCTGACGGAGATCGAGAGAGCACCGCTGCCCATCGTGCACTACGGGATCGACCTGTGGCAGTGCAAGATTACTGGGCTGAAGTACATTGATGTCCACGTGTGCTACGTCAACAGCAACCTCGAACTGCAACACGAGCTCCTTGCTGTAAGTTAGATTGAATTGTTGTTTCCCTATCGGCTTGTCCCTCCGCAATGTATTCGGGGCACTTTCGTTGATTGTTTGCAGAATCCCACATACGTACCAGATTGAAGGTACAGGAGCGTACAAGAGTACGAGCGCTGTGTCTGCTACTGCTGATGCTCAATTTATGTCGGCGTGTGTCCGCGAACATGCCCCCCCCCCCTCCCCCCGCGCTTGTTGCGTAGGTGAAGCACTACGCCCCTTCAGCTGCCGTTCAGGCAACGGGCAAGGCCAGCGAAATCCTCTTCAACGTCTTCAACTCCGTGCTGCGCGAGTTCGGCGTCAAGATCTCGGACCTCGCTGGTGGAACGACGGACTCGGGTTCCGACGTCAAGGCAATGTGCGTCAACTTCCTGCTGGCGCAGCACAAGGGGTCCTGGGACTGGTGCGTCTGCCACCTGGCGGACAGGGCTGCCGAGCAGGCCTTCGGCACCTCGGCGGACCCCCAAAAGCCGAAAAACAAGGATGCGCGCGGGGTTGTACAACTGGTCATCAAGGCCGCAGCCAAGGTCAACCAGTCGCCCATCTTCAAGCAGAAGTTCGACGAGGCCCAGTTGCAGATGACGGGCGAGGTCTTGAAGATCCGGAAGCACGCGCCTCAGCGATGGCTGAGCCTCGTCCGCGTTATGGAGCGCATCATTCGCTTGTGGCATGTCTTGAGGAAGGTCTACGCCAATGATGGCGTAGAGTTCCCCCTGGACAAGGGCGACAACAAAGACAACATCCTCCAACTCTACTCGCTGCTCCGGCCTCTTGCCGCCATTACGCGGGACGGGCAGTACGGCGCCGTCCCGATGTCGGCAGAGATGCACATGGCGTTCGCCGAACTCAAGCAGGAGGGGCTCGACCCCACAGGGCCGCTGAAGGTGTTCGACATTCCCCCGACCCCGGATTCTCCAGCAGCGCTGCAGTCGGACGAGGAGCTCCCGGTGACGGTGAACACTGGCAAGAAACCGCTGCCGCACAAGACGGTGGAGCCGGCTGCCTTGCGTCCAGTTGCCACCAAGACTCGGGAGTTGCTCGGCAAAGCCCTTGTGGAGAAGTTGTACGCAAGACTGTGGGACGAGGAGAGCGCTGACCCTTCTCCCTTTCGCAACGCCTCCGTGCTGCTCACTCCGTCATACAAGGACTCCAAATTTCTCGATGGGCACGCCTTGACGGCAGGCGATGCGCAGCACCTTGGCGAAGGCAGAGCTCACTTGGCTCCTACCCTCGACGACGACGTGCAGAGTAAACTGGACGCTTCCTGGGCGGACATCAGGAAAAGGGCGTCGGATGCTGCGCGAAAGGAACACTCGAAAGCTGCGACCGGACAAGACGGCCAACCGCCTCTGAAGCGCTTCTGCTCGCCGAGCGGGGCACCCAAGCCTAGGTTTGCTTCCCTGGCGCGCCACAGGGCCCGCCACGAATCTGCAGACGGAAGTGACGGCGACAGCGAGATAAACGTGCTCATGCAGCAGATGTCCCAGGAAATCGAGCGCTATCACTCGCTGTACATCACGGCAGAAGAGGTGAGTTTGAATGGGTCCCAGACATTATTTTAATCGAGCATCGGACGGAACGGCGAGAAGGGCCCCGAGCTGGCCACGGTCGCAAGTGAACGTAGGGGTACCAGCGAGCTGCAGTAAGTACGTCGTTCTTCCTGGTGGCGCGGTTATTACTCGTATGTTAATCTTATCTTCATTTTTTCCTTTTCAACCCCTCCCACCCTTCCTTCCGCCTGCGCCGCTGCTGTTGTGCAATTGGACACCCGTGAAATTCTGCCTTGGTGGCGGCAAACAGGTCGCAAGACTTTCCCGTACCTGGCACATTCCCGGGTTCAAGGACATTCCCATGATTGCCGCGAGGGATATTCACACATGTCTGCCACCACGGTTCAACGGGGGGGATGCTGACCTGACGGCCGCTGAGGCCGCCTTCGACGTGATTAAAAACACCGAAACCGGGGACGTCGGCCTGTGAAGGTCGCGAGCGTTCGATGAGTAGTCTGTTTTTCTTGGCCTACGGAAGTACGTCGTGGCAGTCAACGTAGATTGAATCGGAGTGGGATGGGAAAGATTTTGCTCCGGGTGGGGGGTAGCTGTGTCCTTGCGGGTATGGTTTTGATTTTGATGTAGAGGGCCATTGTGTTGTGCGTTATAGCGCCCTTGACTCTGCCTTTACTTTCTCTCATACACGTACGTCGTCAAACTCGTCATGTTGTGCAGGATAATACTGGGGTGTATCGGGTAAGTACCGGGGTTACTCTGTACGCACAGAGTTTTTTCGCACCCCCTGTACCCTACAGAATAGTTTTGTGACGTCTAGTCACAATACCCTATCTGCACAGAACGTTCTGTATCATCCTCCGTACCCTACAGAACAATTCTGTGCATTTGTATCATCCCCCGTACCCTACAGAATAATTCTGTGTGATTCTGTGATGCCTCCGTACCCTACAGAATAGTTCTGTGACATCCATTCACAATACTCCGTCTGCACAGAAAGTTCTGTATCATCCCCCGTACCCTACAGGATTATTCTGTGCGTTCTGTAACAGTCCCCGTACCCTACAGAATATCATGGAAGGTTCTGTGATACCCCCTGTACCCTACAGAGAGTACCCGTACCCTACAAAACGCACCCTTGGAAAATTGGCCCATTTTCCAACATCGATCGGGTTGGAATATCGCTTTGGGAATTGGGGGGGGGTCACCCCCTGGTCACACTCCGATCGTCCGGAAGGAACTACACCGTCTGCTGCCCAAACAGAGGTCAGTAACATGAGGTAATGCACAAACTCTCTGCAGGTATCTAAAATTCAGGGCGTTCTGCGTCGTGTTGACCGCACACGAGCCGAAAACGTCAACCCTGCCACATTTCTCTGGTGACGTTCTTGCCTTTTGCCGGAAAGAGCAGTTTTTGTGCCTGCTGCATGCTTTTTTTTTTGTTTTTCTCCCATCATTGGACTCTGTCGTCTGCCCCTCTGGCCCCTATCCTCCACTTCTACTAGCTAGACGACCCAACCGGGGTCACATAGGAGGGGGGGGTTGGACCCCCTCCTGCGGTTTATGCCTGAGGTATTTTTATCGCGGGAAGGGTACAGCAATCCCTTCCCTCGCGACTTATGAAGTCGATCATGGTTTACCAACAAACGGGCTTTGCAGCGCGTCGCTTTCATCCTAGACCAGGATATATTTAGTGAGAAAATATCTCTCTCTGCCGGGACTCGAACCCGGCCCTTCGCAGGCTGCGAGGCTACCCACTAGACCACCGGGGCGACCGTGCGACCAGTTGAAAACGCACGCCAGACACAGGCGTTCGGCCGCCGACATCCACAAACTGCAGCCAACGGATGAGGTCATCTTGATACCCTCTACTCGCGTACCACAAACAGCGCGTATTGTCCAGTTTTGATTGCGCAGGGCCTGCAAACGTGAACCGCGGTGTGTTGCGGTGATGCCTTTTAGGACGCTGTCAGTTGTTTTTAGGTTGCTCCCTGTGATGTACCTACAACGCATGCCAAGAGAGAGGCCTTTGGCCGACGACATCCACGAACTGCAGCCGATGGCGTGCGATGATGCACATGCCCCCAGCAGGGGACCCAAAAACAGGGCGTTCGGTGTCTTGTTGGTCGCACACGAGCCAAACCTGTGAACTGAAGCCTCTTTTTTCCCTTCATAAAAAGATATACCTCAAGGAACCGTAAGCAGGTCGTTTGGACCTGGAAAATTTTTCCATGCAGGCCAACCCCCCCCCCAGAGGGAGAGAGGAAAAAAATCCCCGAAAAAGTGAGTGCTTAACAAAGAGCCTCAATATAATGAATCAAAAGTTGATTTTTGAAAACTCCGAAATTGCGACTGGTCGTACTTCGAGTTTGGACGGCTGGAAGCGAACCAAAAAAGTCGCCGCAGTGCTGCATAGTCGACCGCAGCAGTTAGCAGCAGGTAGTTCCTGATACTGCCTAATAACCATCCGCGCAGCAGTCATTACTGCGCAGCACCAACAACGTTGATGCCAGCGATATGCATGAATGAAGACGCTAGAATATGTGAAACTGATGGACAAACATCCGTACAAATAATGAGATACGTACAAATAATGAGACGCGCTACGCCTGAAAGATCCACAGCGATACACGGCAATGGTGTACGACACAATCCAAACGTTTAGGCGGTACTAGGCTGCACCAAGACCACTTGAGGCCCAGCGATATGGATGGAGAAGTCGGGAAGCATATTAATACATGGAGCTACGCATGGGCGCTCACGTACTTGCATAGCTCTGGTAGTGTACACAAAACGAGGAGATCTCGCGACGTTCTGCATGATACAAAGCGGCACCCGACAAAGCCGCAGCGTGCCGCAACGTTTGTGGACAGGAGGTGTTCCCCTCTGACTCGAGCATAGGAGCAATCCTGTCACGGCCATGGAGTGCGTATTGCCGTGTCATCGTTGCGTTTCGTTTCTTTTCAGTAGTGCCCGGTAGAGGATGTTCCCGAAGAGTCTTTGTGCGCGGCGACCACAGTATGGCGACACGCAATCGTGCATATGTCACTCGGCAGCACCTTAGCACAAGTGCACAACACGCGCACGGTTGTTCGCCATGCTTTGAAGTATGCTTCGTCGTCGTAGGAGTTATCCCATCCAGGCATGGTCGTCGAGGTAGTGTAGGCCAACGTTCTTGGTCGATGTCGGGTCCATAATGGTGTACCGAAAAAAGAAAGTCGAGCCGAGCCAGAGTTGTTTTTTCCCCCAAACGAAGAGAAAGGAGTGTGTCAAAACATGACAACCATCCTGTACGTATAGAGGTATAGACAACCATGCTCTGGCTATCTCGAGCGCCGAGAGGGCAAAACGGAGCGCGGAGAGCGCGGCGGCGGAATCAGACCCCGTGCTGAACTCGAGACGTTAGCGACGGTTCTTCCGCTGTCCCGTCACGGAAGTCCTCCGGACGTCTCCTGTTCGGAGCGTCCCCAGAAAAGTCTTTCCACCGTCGCCCGCCCGTATCGGCGCCGAGCCGTCGCGCGCCGAGAGCGCTGCACCGACGCGAGGTCAGTCCATAGCCCCCTGGCTACCGGACTGTCTACGCCGGGCTGTTGAGCCAGAAAAGATCCGCGAGCCTTATTGGTCGAGCTACGGAATATTCGTCGACCTCTCGGCGGAGATCGTCAAGGTCAAGTGGCATCACCACTCGTTCGTTCATCGTCACCATTCATTTGTTTGACCTTTTTCCTGTCCGTCGCAGGCACACCCAACAGCATACTAAGTATGTATCTCCAGCCGCATTTCTTCATCTCATGAAATACGAGGTACTGCTGTGGTAAGAGTCTTGTGGTTGGAAAAAATCGAGATGGAGTTCACGTGGAGACGAACGGGAATCCCACTGCACAGCAAGGTTTTACTGCTGTAGCCGTCTATACCCGCATGTACGTGGTTTGAGCCGCTTATTTTCGGGAAGATAGATCAAACCAACCATACATACTACATGCAGCAGTTCGTATTTTGGGGTACGCTATTGTGGTTTGCCCTATTGTGGTCCTCAATCAATCAAAGCGATAGGTACTGTTGTTGTGACACAGGATATGTGCAAGAGTCAATACCCCGATGTGGTTCTACCGAGCTGTTGTAGACATCCTTCTTTATGGTGTGTATCAGATTGTGTGTGGTCTCTCATTTTGGTGTGTACAAGAGTCCATACCCTTATGTGGTTTTCGGTCCTCAATTACAGCGGTAGCGACAAGCGGATAAAGTGGCAATAGTAATGTTAATTGCTAGAAACGACCATTTTTGGAAGATACATAGAATACAGCAGTAGATGATTACTGCAGCCATTTTCGCTTGGGGGTGGAAACGGAGATGATGCAGAACAACAGTTGATTGCCAAACACGGCTTTTTTTGAAGATGAAAACTCCTACAGTATCCAGGCAAGCATAGTCCATGGTATGAGGAGGTATATTCGACACCCGTTTGTATTCCCGAAACGTTCGGTCAGGGTAGACGGGTTGTCGGTTGTCGGTTTCAGGTAGCATGAGCACTCCTTTTCAACAAATATTTTTTCCAAGAACGGCATTTGTGTAGAAGATATGTTTGTTCTACCATGATGAATTGATGGTTTGAGCGGGTATGTACGTTCGATATTCGTTTGGGTGTTGGGGGCAAGCCCGAAAGCGCAGCCATGCTCGCCCACAACCGCTCCTCCACCCTTAACGCTAGCCGTTCTCCAGAGAACATGAACGCCCTTTCCAGGTCGTCCCCCGCAAAACGGAAGTCCTCCGCAGCAGCAGCTCCTCCAACACAGGCATCAGGCAGTGGTGAAACGTTCTCGGGTTGGTCTTGGTCGGGCGAAGAATTGTGCATGACACCGAGCAAGTCGTCGGGTCCCCGTACATTGATCGCAGGATGCGAAGTGCCCACGGGACTCGCGCTTCGCGATCAGTTTGAGATTCCTCGGGCGTTTCTCGGCCGGGCAAGGCCATGCGGGGTTGCCCTCCCGGTGGAGAGACCCTGGCTTGGGAGCCGGGACGCCGTTTATGACGAGGTCGCGACCCGCATGAGAACGATTTGTAATTGTTTTTTTTTTTTTTAAGTGTGGCCCGTTAGGGGTACGCTTTTTGTTTTGTTTTGCAAAAAAAAAGCTGTTTAGAGGGATCGTGTGTGGAGTATGTGCGCACGAGAAAAATAATAATTTTCATGCACAGGTGCGTGAAAATTTAGCCATGGCTGTCTGTCTGGTGTCTGTCTGGTGTCCGGTGTCCGCGCGCCCTAAATAGCCAGCAGACTCGAGCCCATTTCACCATCTCGGCACCAAATTCTAAACTAAAACTCGCGCACAACAAGTAATATTTTGCCCGAGCTGTCCCAACCGCTACCTTTGCAATCCGTGGTCGGTGTCTCGAGATAGCACACCGTTTGTGCAAATATATATGTCACATGGACGCATCCCCGGGAGGCGTCGTCATTTTTGTTTTTCTCTGGGCAAC